CATCCATCACCCGGTTATGAAGCCTGATAAATCCGCGCCGACCTTACAAAACACTGACTCAATCATTTTGTCTTATCTCATTTCGGTCCTCATCTCTGTCACTCATAATTCTGCGTCTCCTTTTCCAGCTACCTTCCAGCCCGCTGGTGTCCAGCTCATTCTTCTACCTCCTATCGCGGCTTTGGCTTTCAATACCCGGCTTTAATTCTCGTCGCCTGACACTTGGGCCCAAAGTCATTTAGCAGATAAATCTAGCGGCTTAAGACATTCCCCGGGTCTGTTTCAATGGACGCCCCCGCCCCCTCCGGTGATCTCCTTCGCCACCTTGCTTTTCCATTTTCCCGCCCCCTCGGCCCTTGCGGTCACCGCGTCCCGGACCGTGCCCCGATGTCCAGCCCGGATGTCAGCGGACCCGAATTAAACTGCGCCACGTAAATCCAGGCCCCGTCCCCTGAAAAACAGTCTTATTTTGGCACTGCGATTACGATTTGAGGGCTCAGTCGTCTGGAAATATCCTATCAACGAAGTAACTTAACTGGACCGCATGGAAATCGCCGTTTAGTTTAGCTCCCATGGGGTATTGCGGGAGCAAAGGCAATAAATATGGGAGTCCATACCTAAGGCCAAAATGAGATCTCTGTTACAGGTTCAACATTCATATCTTTTCAATCCATACCAATACCACGTTCTAAGTTGTTTTCTTCAAGTCTAATTGGGCGCATTTTGATTGAGTTCGACATTTGCGAATAGCGTTCGTCACTGAAATTAAATTTTGACCTAAAATGAAATTAAATTTTGACCTAAATTTGAAATGTTTTCTACGTGTATTGGCGATTTTTGGAGCAAACTAAGAGATCAAATCTCGTTAGAAACTTAAACAAAAATGAACCTTTTTAAACTCCTCATAACTTTCATCGAGTTTCAATATATCTGCTTTCAATTTGATTAAATTCTCTCGACATTTTCTTTTCATTTTACATAAAAGTCGCTCCTACAACGCACTCGGCGTACTGCGACACCCAACCGCCACATGAGCTTATCTTCCCACAGAAATATTTTTGCCGTTTCAAAATTCATTTGATAACAACAGCTTTCTCAATGCACATAGTTCCGTTTGATAGAAATACGTCCAATTGGGGAAAATCTGAAAAGTCTGTATTCGCCGTTGAGAGCATCTGAAGCCACCGATGAGAGAAAAATTATTTCATTTTTCGGAGCAGGATGGCTATATCGTGGAAGAACGCTCCGATGTCCTTGCATTAACAAGGGCTGATGGAAACGTCTTCATTTACGTTTATCGTGTTCATTATCGAAAACTAGGACGAGAACGAAAGCCATTTCCCGATTTCCCTATCGTATCTCCGCATCAGATCGGCGCGGCGCGCGCGTTTAAAAATGGAAAAAGTATGTTTTCGCCTGGACGGGGTCGAGGGACCTTTCAGGGACGGGAGGGTTATGACGAGTGGAGCTGAAGACCGATTCCAGATTAGAGCCAGGAGCGTCGGGGTTGGTTTTTTTCCAGATTGAGTGACCGATAAAACCGGTGCTGGAACTGTAAATTGATTCCCCGATAGAGGTATGCGTCAGAGGAGGTGAAGGAAATAGAGTTAACCTTTAAAATGCGCTTATCGACGTGCAAAGTGGTGCGGGGTAATAGCTGTATTTCTTCCTCCCGACGACAGAGGAGGGCAAGGCCTTTCGAAATACGGAGGCGTTATAAATTAGTTATTTATTGAAGATGATCGGTTAGTTGTCTTCCTTGGTTTAATCTTCAATTTTACAGTAATTTAGACTATCCCTGTCAAATGGATATTCGTTAAACTGGAAGTATTTTAAAATATTTTTAGAATTCGTTCCAATAAAATTGAATTTTCTGTATAGATATTCCATTCCATCTTACGCGTAAGATTATTATTAAGTCATAAAAATAGTAGGTAATGGTAGTAATGAAACTTCTTACAGACGTAGGGTGCACCTATTTAATGTAAAAATAAACTTTAAAACTGAAATAACTCTTCTGACCATTGCAGAATTTAAATCGTGGAGTTCTATAGCTTTAAAATGCAATTTTTCGTTTATACTTTGGGGGGGNTTTGGGGGGGGGGTGCAGCACAGGAAAAAAAAACATTGGATCTAGAGTCCAGACTCTTAAAAACATCGACAAGAAAAAGTACTCTTGATTCAATCAGAATCTAGCTTAAATCAAGAACCAAGCCAATCCTAATTTGTGCGGATTTCCTTTTGATTTAAGCTTAAATCTGATTGAATCAAGAGTCCTTTTTCTTGTCAATGTTTTCAAGTGTCTGGACTCTAGATCCAATGTGGTTTTTATTCCACTTTTTTCTCACTAGGTCCCACCACTTCTTGTTGCTCTGCGAAGAATCATTTAACATTCTCCTTAAATATCCGTTATGCTTATTTGCTTAGTTTTGGTGTATGTTTTGCGCAATGCGTGAAGTATCCATGCAGTCTTGCAGGCACTAGCAGCGCGCACGGCGGCGCACGGTAGAGTACTCGCAATGCGTGAAGTATTCATACAGTCTTGCAGGCGCTAAAATGATTTTCAGACTCCTCTCTCCTTCCACTTACAAAAGTTTCTTGAATAGAGTGGAGTGTCAAATTGGTGAAACTTCATGTAACCCCTTCAGGTGCGGTAAATACACTAGAAAAAAAAAACACATTGGATCTAGAGTTCAGACTCTTAAAAACATCGACAAGAAAAAGTGCTCTTGATTCAATCAGAATCTAGCTTAAATCAGGAACCAAGCCTCTTGATTTAAGCGGATTTCGTTTTGATGTAAGCAAAAATCCGATTGAATCAAGAGTATTTTTTCTTGTCAATGTTTTCAAGAGTCATGACTCAAGATCCAATGTGTTTTTTTTTCCAGTGAGGCTAACCAATAGCCTGAGATACTGAATGTCTCTAATAAAATTAACTAACTAACTAACTAACTAACTAACTAACTAACTAACTAACTAACTAACTAATCCTTTCCGTCCAACAGATTTCTCAACTCGTTACGCACCTGTCATCAGGAAAAACTAGTAATTATCAGCGTCAGCAACCGTAACACTTGGTGGGGAGGCTGCTAGTGCATTGGCCCCAAAATATTGTGTCCCCGCGTTTATTTGAATCGATAGTTTAATAGTTTTTGTCTCTACACTTGCCCTACCCGGCCAACAGTCGCCAATCCGAGGAACCAAAGCTCATTTCATGTGGAACGCGATTGATACGATTGTGAGCATTGCTTTTGAGGTGAAATATCAATGATTTTTTGCCGGTGGCCTCACTTTGTTAATTTATTTCTGCCAGTGAATCGAACGCTTTCTGGCAGGCTCGGCGCGCTTTATCGGGACGACACCAATGCGTTGGAACTCGGTGCGATACGCTTTGAAAGTAATTATCATTTCCGAGTGGCATTGATGAGTCCCGTCGAAATTGAGCGCACTAGTTTAAAATTACTTATTTGTTCTGTTGAACTTTATCGTCGGGCGCAGTGAGGGTGACAGCCGGTAAAAACGCCCCCGCTCTCCTTCCGCCCGAAAGATAGTTTTGCCTTAATTTGGTAAATTCGATTCTGTTGAACCGTGCAATCAATTCTTTCGGCGTCAGGTTGCTGCGATGTCAGTATTGAGGGCGTACTCAAAAAATTGCGAAATGCCGTTGGAATGTATCAAATTAAATCGATATTTGCTTGTCGGAAAACGAAGAGAATGTAAAATCAGCCCGAAACGGAAACGACAATCGAAAACACAGGAAAATGCGGAAACAAGGCTAAAATATTTTAGCCTTGTTTCCGCATTTTCCTGTGTTTTCGATTATTTACTTGTCTGTATATATTTCGGTTTTGAGGAAATTTTGCCTCGGTGAACTACCCATTCGATTCTTAAATAACACTCTCAAATTTATAATACCTTTTTCAGGGGTGCAGAAAGTTTCAAGCTGTCCCCGAAATTCAAGTAGCCTTCCACTATTTTTAATACCAATTTATGATCGGTTCACCCCCAAGGCTTACAAAATTCTCTCCTTTAAATTAGACAGTGAAAAACTTTCGACCGTGGAAAAACTTTCCACAGTCGGGAATTTTCTGCATTCCGCAATTTTCACACGTGTATTCTTCAGTATTTTGAATAACACTTGAATATACGAAGTTAGATTTCAATAAATATTCCTCACAGTGTGAGTAAAATAATTTTATTATTCACTCCGTAGTAGTTTCAAACATTATTTCATTCAAGAGACACGGCGAAAATGAATTCGTCGTTTTTTCTGCTCGTGCGGAAAATGAATATCATATCCGCCGCACTTTCAGTATGTTACTTCCAATGAATGTGATTTATTGATTCCAGAAAAGTTTATCTATTATCTTATAAATTCATTTTCATACATTTTCAGAAATAATAGCTCGGAACAGTTAGGCGGTAAAACTAGAGGTTTTATTCTTTCCCATCTCCTTGAACTCATCGTCTATCCGCCGAATTCCTCTAATTCAAGCTTGGATTTGTGCTTTTTTGTCGAACCAAAAACCCTTGCAGAGAGCAAATCTAAATAACTGAAAATCCAAGTCCGCAATTCGGCAACACAATAACCTGTTTTTGAATACTTCATTAATCTAATAATGGAAGAGTGTCATCTCCAAAAACTGTTTTATTTCGATATTTACTTCTTTGCATCACCTTTTTTGTAGGGAGTCCTGTCACTCATTTCTAAATGTGTTTGCAGTATTGCAAATTTTACTCAGATAACATACTCATTGTCAGACTCAGAAGTGCTTGTACTCAGTTTATAGCCAATCTGTTTTGAAATTGGAAGAATTTAGTTTCAACATAGACCTCGGTGCAGGAGCGATGCATGCAAGATATTTCTCCCAAGTTGGCAATGACTCACTTCCTCCTTTCAACTTGCACATTTTTTGAACATTAAGGGTCGTTCCGTAGTGCCCAATGTACACCCTCTGTAGTTAGTCTCATCCATTATATTCTCTTCACTTGACTCTCACCTGATGTGCCGCTGCTGCATCCTCACACCTGATATATAATTGCATTTATCATTACATTTTTCCTCTCGTTATTGTGTCCCCTTACTTCATGCCATGAAGACAAATTTACGCAGTTTTCATACTTCCCCTAGACAGGTTTCTTATCTTCCCTCCCAAATCTTAATCGGAGCTTTTAAAGCTCAACCCGACAACGTAGCTACACTCCAGTCCCGTCACCGAATCGGCGACTGATAACGCACTCAAAACGATCGCACAGAAGTAATCCCTCATATACCTTCGACGCACAAACACGCCAGACTCCGAAAGCCGTAATATTTACCCCGAGAAGCAATGTTTGATCCGGGAAATTCGGCATTACAACGAAATCCCCAAAGAAAACACGAGCTATCTTCCCGCCTTAGCCAGGTATTATTTCAGCCGGGAGACGGGGCGAAGTGGGGTGGGGCTCCTTAATTTTTTGTGCGGGTATGTGAAGGAGCGATGATGCGAGTACTGCGGGTTGCGGGCGGGCGGAGACAAGGCGGTAAGACGCACGAGGGTGGCCTGAGCAGGAGCTGATAAGGACAGTTTGTTATCGGTGACAGGCAGCCCCCCCCCCCCCCCCCCCNGCGCCGCCCCGCCCGGGTGCTCGCCGGAGCCGGGCTGCGGGTGCTATGAAATATATTCAGCTTTGGCCGTTCGCGATAAAGTCGCGCGCGCGTGCGAGCCACCGATCTGCGCCCGATCGTCTGCATCGCCCGCTACCAGACTGCGTCTCCATCGCGAAATTATTGTTTCCCCGAGTGAGCGTTCTCTTTTCGTCTACTCAGTGGGAGTATTATCCTAGTTCAGGGCGCGGGAAAACCGAGAAATCCGAAAAAAGTGCGCAATTCTAATGACTGCTCCAGGGGTACACTGGAAAAAAAAAAAAAAAAAAAAATNNNAAAAAAAAAAAAAAAACACATTGGATCTATAGTCCAGGCTCTTGAAAACATTTACAAGAAAAAGGACTCTTGTTCAAGCAGATTTAAGCTTAAATCCAAAGGTAATCCGCTCAAATTAAGAGGCTTGGTTCTTGATTTAAGCAAAAATCCGATTGAATCAAGAGTATTTTTTCTTGTCGATGTTTTTAAGAGTCTGGACTCTAGATCCAATGTGTTTTTTTCCAGTGTAGTGGCGATTCTTGAAAGTTCTGTTAATTAAATATAAATACTCAGGAAAATTGATGGCTGCACTTAAATTTTCTTTTCAATAAAACACACAGTTTCTTTTTAATGAAAATATTGAGACGGAAATCTCCCACCTTAGCGAAATCAGTTTGTCAATATATCGAAATCATTCCCGAAAAAAAATCTAAGGAAACAGGTGAAAAACAAGGGGGAAAACGAGAAACGAGGCTAAAATACACAATTAATAAGAACCGAGACGTTTCGACTCAAAACTGAGTCATTTTCAGTCGGAAATACAAAAGGAATTTAAAAAAAAAATTATGAAAACCTGATCCCGACATGGTGGTAGCCGGGGATCTGAGAAAAATGATCTCACGTCCCGGAAAATACTCCTCAAATCCAAGGAAACACCCTGTTCTTAGGAGCGAATTTTTCATTATTTTATTTGAATATATCGTAAAAATCGGAAGGCAATATGCAGCGATTCCCACAGTTCACAAGTTGGTTGTGAATGATTTTGTGTCAGGATTGGGCAAAATAGTGGACTAGCTCGTGAGTATAATTAGCGAGGGGCTAAAAGTGGGTGTTGAGGCAGAGGGGGGTAGGTGGAATAGCTCAGAACGCAGGGGTGCAGGTAGAGTGGCAAGATAAGGAGTCAAAATATCGTATCGTGAAGCTTTTTAAATGTATCCACTGCTTGAGCTCAAAGTTGCCTCAACCCATGTTGCCGGAGATACTCCCAAGACCCGTTATTTTTTCACCAGTACACTCTTGTCGGATCGTGCTGAAAATTCAAGCTTTTATCAACGCACGAGAGCCCTCGGGTTTTAAAAGTCTCGGAAAAATTCTCCTCTCATGCAAAAAGCAAACAAATTTTGACAAAAATCACACAGGGACATTTTATATAAAATGAATTGTTTGAGTCAATTTTGCAGCCTGGAATAAAGTTACGTTCCTTCGTCTGGAAAACGACGCCTTCAGTGTGTCTACCGTACCCTAAAAGTCCCTAATGTCCATTATTATTTCCGATTTTGGAAGGGTGCCCCCGATATCCCTAAAAGTCCCCAATTTTCTTGTTCAGGTCCACAAAAATGGCAAAAAATGGTCCTAAACACCGGCCGGTTTCAAATTTTCCCGCCAGTCGCGGCGGCGCGGTATAGCGAGGAATAAAAAACCTGAAGCGTTGCTTGGTTTTTCGCATATTTTCATCGGTTCAACATAACTTACAAAATTAGTCGTATAAAATACGCCTTTTAACGTTCTAAGTAGCTTCCTTTCCCTTACTATTTCGGGAAAAAAGTCCTTGATTTTTTTTTTTTTTTTTTTTTTTTTTTTTTTTTGTGAAAAATCCCTAAAAGTCCCCGAAAGTCCCCAATTTTGGTTTGTTATAACTGGTAGACACCCTGGCCTTGCGGTCCGTCATCAGCCATTTTCTGTTTAAATACGTCGCATTTCAAGGCCAAATCCGACAACGCTGCGAAGGGAGCCGCGCTTTTCATAGCTCAATCCGACAGAAAAGCGGCGCTTTCCCGCTTTCCTGGCCGCGGCCCACGTTATCACTTTATCAGCGCCCGGTGATCGCGAGCCGAGCGGGGCGCCAAGCACCGCGTGGTACGCCCCCCGTGTCCCTTGTCCCATGTCCCGTGTCCCGTGTCCCTCCGCGAGTCGTGTCCTCTGTCCCTTACGCATCTGTCCCCCGATCAGATTTGTCCCCTCTCCTTAAAGTGACTCACGTGTGCTCGTTCTGACGAGCAAAGAAACGATGTGATTATTGCTTGAATATTCGCTTTTTGGCTCTTTTCATTGAACGAATTTGCGCCTAGGCGATTTAGCAATTTGGCAACACTGGATTCCTCTATTTAAATCTATGTTAAGTAATCGATTCTGACGAGCAAAGAACTGATGTGATTATTGCCTGAATCTTTGCTTTTTGGCTCCTCTCATAGAAGAAATTTGCGCCTAGGGGATTCAGCAATTTGGCAACACCGGATTCCCTACATTTAAATCTATGTTAAATAATTGATTTTTTTCGGAAGCTTGCGAGCTGGAACTTGGAACTTTGCGAACTTTTTTAGAGATTTGTAGTTCGTTTCAGAGAAAGCCAGCCAGTGGCATCATCGTGTTTTTCGCAAAGTTTCAAAGAAGTGCAGGTATTCAAATCGCGAACTACCCACACGTGAAAGAGCTCCATTTAAAAATCTAGACCAAGAAATGAGACCATCTTAACCAAGGGACACAATTTCCCATAGAAAGGGGTTTTCTTTCCGTTGCGATGAAAATACTCGTTGCATCAAGGAAGTGAATTTTTACATCGAGGAAAATTTTAGTTGTGACCAAAGTTCCCTTGTAGCAATTTTGTTTCCAGCTGTCAAAGCTAGAAACACTCAAAACTCGATAAAGCGAATCTCACCGTCATTAATAAAAATTTTACTCGGCGCATTACTTATCTTTCTTTTTTGCCCAGAACCGCTCAGAATTCTTTTACCGAACTGATGTTTTTCCTTCCTGTTGGCTGCATTTTCCAAAGTATACTTTTGTTTCAAAAAATTTACACGTATCAAAATAAAATTGCAGTGTCTATTTCGAGACTTTCTCTGGGATTGCGGATCCAATTCAACTTGATCTTGTTGCATTATACCGAAAGACTACATTTCTCAAATTTTATTCTTTTTTTAAAAAAGTGTAAAAGTAAATGAAATTGCAGTATTTATTTTGAGACTTTTTCCGGGTTTGGGGAGTCAATTCAACTTCTTTTCGTCCCATTACATGCAGGGAAGAAAGCTTTCAAAGCTCAGGCATGCACACAACTAGGCCCGCCGGAGGAGCTTTCATCCAATGATACGAGCTGGCACAGCGCTGAGGGAGCTCTCTGGGATTCCCCCGCCCCCACCCCCGTCCAAGTGGTTGCCAACATTTCGGGCTCTTATCGTCCGGACGCACAATGGGCGCACAGTGAAATGAATCCTTATCACGGCCTTGGCATCTAGCTGGGGTAGATTAATATCCGTTGCCCGACCGACATGAGGGACCCAGTTTTTTTTCCGTATTACTATCTAATTTATTTTGCACGTATCCTACGGAACGGACGGCTTCAATAAGTTTCGCGTCGATTCGTGACTCTTTCAGAGCGGCTCTCCGTCTATTATTTGCATATCGCTGAGTTATCGGCTACCGTGGCCTCTGTCCCTTATCGCTTCTCCTCTTCGTTAAGCGGGCGCGGGCTCTTTTCAGGGACTCCTCCGAATCATATCATTGCCAAATTTATGTCCCATGCGGGCTTCTACGTCATAGCGCTGTCTCCATTATGAGCGCCTCAAGGAAAAAGTAAGCGGGGAGTTTCGAAACGTAGGTACTAGACAGGATAGCAAAATTTCATGAAAAATAAAATCTTGAAATTTCACGTAAAATATTTCATGAAACTTCGCAAAAGATGAAAATTGTGACTTCTTTCTATTTTGGTGTGTTCGAGTTCGGACTGCGTACTCTAGCCCCTGAAAATTATGAAATATTTCACAGACTCGTAAAATTTCTTGAAATATTTCACTGAAATTTCCATTCTTTCGTTTCTCTCTTACGTCTCCTGGCCACCCTGTTATTAGAGGGTATTCTTGGGAAAAATACCACGGTGACCCATCGACTCCTCCCAAGGATCAGACGTTGCATTCTCGGCTCGCAAAAAATACCCTACTTTTCAGAGCCGGATTATGGCCGCGGCCCATGCCGGCAAATTTTGCAATTTTTTTAAATGTAGGTATAAAAAAATTGGATTCAGAAAAAAAAATATCAATGAGAAAAGGGGACAAAATCTCTCTTTCCTGAGAGTATAGTAATTTCTAGTTTTATCGTTTTTCGGTGATTAAAGAGGCAGCATC